TCCTTCTCGTGGGTTATCTTCTACTCAAGCAAGTTCTCTCCTATTCTTCATCCACCAACTAGCAGGAACGTAGGAGCACAAGAGTGTCATCATCTTCTGAAACGATTGGCTTTCGATCTGCTTTCCAAGAGGTGGTTTCTGACATGACCAGAAAGAGTGGAATTCTTGTTAGGATTGGCATGTCAAGTTGCTTTCTCGGACCCTAACATAAACCACCTTATCCTCACTCAGATTGTTCTTTTGGAATGAGCAGAAGCACGACCTCTATCTGACGTTTTCTCTATCCCTTCTAATCTCTCAATGGCATTTCCATGTCTCGATTCAATCAATCAAGTAAGTACGGATGACACTTGTCTTTATTTAGTGTTTACCCGGCTATTCAGCCATTACTTGCATCTCAGCTTCTTTGTACCCTTTTTTAGTGCCATGCACACTGAGGTTTCTGGCATGACCGAATCTTTTGAGAATAGGAACTCCATCCCTTGACACTAATTTTTGATACAGAAGTGGAATCGAAAAAATGCAGGAAAAATGCACATTCAATATTGAGAAAATGTTGAGTAACTGCCCTTGACTCAAGGTCTTGAGAAACCAGAAACTAGTGTTCGGTGGCCCAACAAATGCTATAGGTTTTCATAGGCGATGTCATTTTTACAAGCTTTCGCATGCTAAGCGTGACTATGGATTTTATATAGTTATGGAATAACCTTCTTATCCGCGAGTTCTTCGGCCAAAGACTCCTAATATCGCTTGTTGGGCCCTTGATTCCAAAGTACATGTACCGAAGGCAAACTTGAATGCATTAGGTTGGGAAGCGGCCTAGAAGGTGCTTAAAGATAGGTGACAGTTGTGAAAGTTTAGTCGACTTGTCGGCAGCAACTGACCTTTCTTTCATCAAAAGTAGGAATGAAAGCTGGCATGCAGATAAGGAAATATATTTTCTTCTCTTCTACTCGGCTACGGACATTCTAAAAGGAGAAGCAATAAATACAAAAGTGCTAGGTTTGGATTTGAGTGAGATCCCGGATCGGTAGCTTCAGATATCCCCTCAGACTGGAATGAGAATTTCGATAGATTTCTTTGCTTTAAAGCATAGTTGCAGGTAGGTTATGCTCCTTTGACTCATCCCTATAGTCTAAGGATTGCCAATCAAACAGTAGTAGTAGACTAGCCATATTCATCTTCTATAGTCTCCTATTTCCCCCCTATTTAAAATGGTCAGCCTGCGCAGCAGAAAAAAGGCGCTCTAATCGTACTCGAGCCCTTAATCCCCCAATAGGGCTTACTTACCTGAGTCAATTCTTTCCTTCCCATGCGAAAGCAAGGCCTCTTTCTCGACTTTACTTGAATGCCATTTACTGAGCTATCTTCCTTTTTCTTCTTCTGGCGAAAGCACATTTTATTGTTTTACGGAAGCAAGACGAAAGGTCATTTCGCCAATCTGGGGAATAACAGTTAGAGCTCTATACATAAAGAGAAGGCGTATTCACTTAAAGGACTGTGAAATCTACCCTATGCCCCGAAAAGTCTAGGCACCTAAATAAAGTAAAGATGGGATCCCTGACCAATATATTAAGCTATCCAATGAGTTAGGAACCTTTTTTCTTCCCCCTTCTCTTCTCCACTTTGCTCTGTTACTCCTTTTGCAGATGGTTGGTCACCACTCTTAGGCTTTTTGTTCTCTGCTTGTGGTGGGTCTCCAATCTTGATCCGGTGCTGACTTAATAGGGAAACCTACCTAGAAAATGCCTCCTTTTCCGGCCCGGTTAACAAATGAGGGATTGAAGTTCGTTTCCTTCATATCGTATTTCAACGGATCGGGTAGTTCTAGTCTTTTTTGATACTCCTGAGAACAAAAATAAATATCATAAATAGTTTTATTCTAACTAGACTCGTATACCTCCAATTATATGATAAGGCACATTTATGCTAATTAGTGTCTTTAAAGAATATCTACTTTAACCATATATTCCCATGTTTTGATTGACAAGACTATTATTCAATCAAAGAGATTGCCTGCCCATGCTAAAATTCCTTACTCAAAAGGACTAGAGTGCTAAGCTGCCTTCCCGGCACCACCACTATAATGAATGGCTCAAACAAATAGGAGATGAGAATCTAATTGATCCTTTCTAGAATAGAATATAAAGAGAAGCTTGTTCTGCCCATCTATCTAGAGAATGAAAAGGAACTAATGCCACTGATAGGAAATACATAGACCGTACGCCCACTTACCACTCTACCACTTCAATTCAATGATGGACTTCACCGATACCTAGCTTGAGAGAGATCGATCACAGGCATGTGGTGAACGATACCGAGAGAAAGAGCACTGAAATGAACCATATCGAGCACAGGTCTCACTCTACAAGTCAAGTTCGATGAGCTCTTAGCAGACCTGTGCCTACTATCTACTAAGTGTGTGCTAGGGAAAGAAAGCAAGCTGAGCAGTTCTCACTCTGTCCGGTGACCAAGAAAGCTTAAAGAATACCGTAAAGTGATCACTGAAACCTCATACCGATTCGCCACGTGAAAGCGGGGTTAAGGTAAGGCAGGAAAGACTAGCGCCGAAAGATATATATGTTTTGAGGAGAGAGATCCGCAGGCAAAAATCTTGAAGGAAGGACTGACTGAAGGAAAGACCGTAGCAAAAGCCGAAGAAGATGCGAATCAGGAAAAGGGAGATGAGTTCCAGTTGTTCGAAAGACCAGTGCCCGGAAAAGCAAGTCGGAAGGGGATCCGGATGTTCAGTGCTTAAAGAAAAAAGATAGGTGTTGCTCTGTTGTTTGCTTTGAGGTTTCCCCTAGTTGGGAAGACCGAGAACCAGTAGGAAGGCGATCCAAAGTCTAGTGTGAAAAGAGATAGTTGCCCGCCTCTTGATGGAGAATTGAAAACATCCCAACGTATCTTTCACTAGTTAAGTAGTAGTGAGGCATCGGTACGTCAGCTGGAGAAGAATGCTTGCTTTTCGTATCACTGGTGTAGTGATTGACACGGTCTTCGCATATTGAACAACCTAAGATTGGAAACACCTTAATCGCTTCTCCAAGCTTATCTATATATATTTCTCGATGGAAGCAGAAGGAAAGGCTTAAAGAAGGTGACAAGAAGAGAAACTTATTAGTTCGTTGTAGCCAACTTATCATTCCAATGAGAGGTCAAAGTACGATAGAAGTTATTGATACCGATTTAGGCGAGCAGCATAGCCTGGCAGAGCCAGAGGAAGAAGTCTGTCTTGTTAGCGAGTTAGAGAGTAGTTTCCTTTAAACGATTTCCGCGAGCATACTAGCTTTTCACGAACACAGAGGAGAAAGAAAACCAACAACCAATAGGGTGAGGCAACTAACTACCAATCCTTTTATTGAATAGCCGCGTCGTGGGTAAACATAAAGAAGCCACCGAAGAAATCAAGCCAAAGGCTTCTCACTTTCTAAAGTAGTAAAAAGTGGATCCCCGCTTCGAGGCGCTTGGCGTAGATCTTTGAAAATCGTCAATCGGGTGAGCCAACTATTATTGAGGGAGGCCAGGTCTATATAGGTAATATCAAGTTGCTCTAGTTGCGTGTCTTTCATATGGAAAGATGGGTGTTTTTATCCAAGCAAGGGAATAAAATAGGTAACACCCCCCCTCACATCAAGTCTGTACGCTAGCTACCAACATATACTATGGAGTCCATGGCTACCTCCGCGGATGGAAGACCGTAGAATTTTCACTTTCGCTGAAGAGTTGAACTCTGACTGAAAGGACTTGACACATTGCCAAGGCGATTTTATTAGCCAACTGTGGGATAGAGATCTGCGGTAAACGAGCGATAGCCTCTAAAGAGTGCCGAAATAGGATTGGTTACTTTTTCTAAAGATCTGAGACTGGTGAACGTATTGCATAATTTAAAGAAGCCCATTTCATTAGAGGGAGGGAGCCCTTCCTACCTTTCTTTATTTAAGTGCTAGTGTCAAATGAGACAGTTGCCCGCCTTGGAGGGGTTGTAGCGAAAGCTCCGAAGTCCACTTCTTTACCAACTTGAATTCATAAGGAGACCGAACTCTATTCATGCTCAAGTGAACCATGGGTGATGATATTCCGCTGTTCTGAAATCAAATAGGAAACGGATGGCGCTTGAGTTTTTGATCTCGGCATGAGAAACTATTCCTCCTCCTTTTGCTTACAATCACCTCACTTCCCTTATAAGAAGATAATAGTGCTTGTATCCTGGGTCATGAGGTTACCCTCTTTAGTCTGATAAGAAGAAGTCAAGGTCTCGATTCCGTATTAAGTAAACATAAGGAACCCGCCCAGAGGATTTCTTCGGTTTCGGTAGGGAAGCCACTGGTTCGTATCACGCTATGGTTGAGGGACCTTCTCGGTTCAAAGCTAACAAATAGGTCTCATGTTGGCACTCAATCGCTAAGAGTAGCCAACAACTTAACTTGCAGGCTTTCAAACCTGCTCATACGGTAATGGCGAGGGGTTTTGCGGATCCCTTTCTCTATGAGTTTCGGTTGATAATGACTTAAGGTGAGCAACGGACCTCCAATCACTTTTTCAGGAATACACAGAGAGAACCATCCGGCTGCACTCAACTGCAAACTAAAGGCACTCCTAACAAGACAGGGAATTTCTCCTTTGTTATTGGTCGGGACGACCTAAATCCTATGGTCAGTTCGGACAGGGGCATTACAAACGAGCTATGCTCTATGATTTCGCTTTGTTTACACGGGTGAGTGACCTACACCTTCCAATCTATGGTTTCACCCGCGAGGTAGAACTTTCTCTAAAGCTTCTTCGCTCCGTAATACACTTGCACCTTCCTTTATAACCATGCACTCCCACTACTTCTTTAGGACATGGCTGACTTGCTTATCACATATAAATAGTAGCTATCTGCTCTTCCACTGGGAGAGGATTTGCCTGGGATTGTTTAAGCAATTCCCTTAATCGTCGACCCCTTGCCAATTGATTCTGACTTGTTTTATCGAGAGCAGAGGCGAATAATAGGCTTGTCACTCTGCGAATTGAGCTAGTTCCAATTTGGATTTTCGAGCTACTTGTTTCATGGCTTTAATTTGAGCTGCGGATCCTACTCTGGAAACTGAAATGCCCACATTAATAGCAGGTCGAATTCCGGCATGGAATAGATCCGCAGATAAGAATATTTGTCCATATGTAATGGAGATTACATTAGTAGGAATATAGGTAGAAACGTCTCCAGATTGAGTCTCAACTATTGGTAAAGCGGTCATACTTCCTTCGCCTAAAAGAGAATTGCATTTCACGGCTCTTTCTAAAAGGCATGAATGCAAATAAAAAACATCCCCTGGATAAGCCTCACGGTCGAGACTTAATAGAAGGGACATTTGGCGATAAGCTTGTGCCTGTTTGGAGAGATCATCATAAATTATTAAAGTATGCCGTTCGCGGTACATAAAATACTCAGCCAGGGCTGCTCCCGTATAAGGAGCGAGGTATTGTAATGTAGCAGGTGAACCCGCCATTTCAGCTACTACAATAGTGTATAAAGAATGAATATTTATCGGTAATGCTCAGGAAGAAAGAAGGGGTCATCCTTTTGATTTTTATTCCACCCTCATGTACCCTTCTTTGCATTTTTTCTAAAGCCTGTTCAACCTCATATCACCTAGAACAAGTCATGGACTTCTTCAATGAAAGAAAGTTTCATGGAAACGTTTTCAACAAAATAAGAACCATACAAAATAGATTTCTTGATCTATTTATTTAGGAAAACGAATTTTTCGCAGTTTTTTCTTTTATCCTAAAGATATGCAGAACAAGTGTATTATGAAATGTTCGTTGTCTAGCTTTGCATACATCGCTACTTAATCATTTAGTGGTTATCAATAAAATTACTTCACCATAGAGAAAATATTATTGAAGTTTATATATATATATATATATATATATATATATATATATGTCCAATTGGAAAAGTTGATCTTCTAAATTCATATGTTTAGCCTAAAGTACATAACTTGTGTTCCTCCCTAGTTCTTGCAAAGCCACCTAATCAAGCCTCACCTCATTTGTAGTTATAACATGTTCAGCTGAAAGCAAACTCCAAAAAAAATTGGTGTACTATTAGTAACACATATACTTTTTTAGATGGTTAACTCTAAGTTTTTTTGAAGTAGGTTGTTCAATGCTAGTTCAATGATTGAGCCATCTTCCTATCACCAATAACAAATGGATAGCATGCGTTGTGCAACCAATCCTACCCTCAGTTGTAGTAAGCTGAGTGTGATCCGCAGAGAGCAAAGTGTGTATCACATGAATTTGATAGCTCGGGCCTTGGAAGGACCTTTTTGGCACTAGACAGACTCTTTAATATCGATGGCAGCAACTATCCATTTTCTCAATCAGATTACTACGTGTGCGCTTGTGTGCTCCAATCTTTAGTAAATAAAGCAAAGATTTCTGAGCTAGGAATCATAGGAAATGCTCTGACTCAAATCCAGATACAATTTGTTATGTCGGAGACCTGTGTGACTTCGTACATGTATTTGAAGAGTCCCTCAGGATCATATCACAATGAACTAGACTGGTCAGGATGCTCCAACTAACAATCTAGAATCCATACTTGATAGGATCAAGAATAAAAAACATGATATCAAGAATAGCATATTGAAAGATCCCAATCATTTTTCTTGATAACTTCTTCAACCTACGTATTTTTTGTATAAATTGGATCAATTATTAATAAAATAAGGAGCAAACATAGGTATCAGATATCAGGAGCATAAGCTTACCCGGGAGAAATGCACTCTGTGTTAGTCCGATCACTTAGCTCTTGCTTTCGCACTCCCTACTGATGCCTATTGCATGACTCTCATTCAGCCAAACTAGAAACTGTGTTTACAGCTGGAACGATGAATGTAATTCTACTATTCTGGAAGGGTAGGGTCATCTGGACCGAATATCCATGGCAGAACCCCACACTGGCTAGGAACTGGGCTGCACTAAGCCCAACACTTTTTGGGCTTCTTCATGAATCTAGTTTTCAGGTAAGGTCAGATCATCTTATTGAATAGATATCTGAAAGAAAGCAAAGGAATGAATCATTTTTCCAATTACATTCTCTCGAAAACCATAGATCTTCTGGTTACCATTGACTATCCGGCACTTTCGTCTGTAGAGTGAAGCAAGAAATTGCATGGAAGGGCTTTTATGCTAATATCAGCCTTGTTTGGAACAATAAATGCAATCCATTTCAGTGTATGTCACTGAGTTCACCATTGTAATTGAGACGTCAGGAAATTCAGAGTTCCCTAGAGTTTGGTTCAAAGGCTAAGGACTCCTCGCCGCCTTCATAAGGGCACTAAGGTGGAGCAAGGAGAAGCAAATTGGGCACCCATGTTTTACCAGTCCCGAATCTCAGGGCTGTTTTGCCAACCGCCGACATGAACGAAATCGAATTTTATTGCGGGAAATTAGGATTTCATGAGGGAGGAAAAGGGGGTGGAGAGTCGTACAATGCATTGGTGGGATGAAGGTGCTAGCTTGGCTGAGATAGGAAGTTTCGATGTGTATGTAGATTTGGTTCTAGTGCCCCCACCCTTTTCGAGATCTGTCAGGATTAGCAAGATGTTCTGGTGTAAACTATAGAGAAATGGAATGAATGAAATGTATCTAAGAAGAAAGGAAGCCATGCTCCATCCTGTTTCTAAAAAGAACATCACCTCCCTTTTTGGTTAGATACCGCTCCGTTAGGTACTAATGCTTCTACCAATCACCCGGAGGGTGAGTTTGAGAGCTGTGTTTTTTCCCAACATTAATAGCATTCCGCGAGAAATGTCCAAATAGACTACCCCACATTTATCAAAGCTCAAAACAGAAAATAACCTATTACAGATATTAATTTTTTAGGTTTACTTTCTCCTGAGAGCAGTGCATAAAAGTACAACCTATTGATAAATCACTGATTTTATAAACCTGGAGCTTTCCGCCTCAAGGATATTCCTGATAATAATTAGATAAATATTATAATTTTACATAACTATATATAAACTATATGACATAATCCTATCCATAGAAATGGAATTCAAAACTTCGGAATAGTTTTGAGGAGAGCCGAGAGGACACGTTCAAGGAGTAGTGTAAAGTAGCAGATAGAGGGGCGCTCCCGCTTAGGCATTAGGCATTAGGCACGAGAAAGGACATTGTTCTCGGCAGTCCCTTCCTTCCCGGAAAAAGGCTCTCTTGCATATTTTGCTTCCCCACCCGGCCTCTATTCTAGATTCACCGTCTTCAGATGCATTAGTTTATTATGCTTATGCCTAATCTTAATACTGGCTAGTTACTTCAATTACCTTACCCCACCGCCCCTCCTTTTAAGGAGGTTTCAGAGCACCCAGTCACAACTCGTCACAAGAAAGGATTGATGGTCGAGTCCCCGTGCATGAAGTCAGTGGATTCGAGTGAACTGACCGTACTACAAATCGACATATTTCAGGAAGCTTCTTACTAAACCAAAGAAAGGGCAGCTCCAGTTGTGCTATCGATTCCCTTCCCCTGAGAGCTTTCACACTCTGGGATGGGAGTCCCTTCCAAGACTTGACCAAAAGCTCCCCACAATTTCTTGATTTGAAGCAGTTCAGAGGCCTTCTTCTAGTTACGATTCGCCCTCGCCTGTCACTATAGATGTTCTAGCTTTAGTCTTTAGTGTCATTTCGATGACCCTTTAATAGGTAGTCTAATACCTTAGATTGAAGAACAATCAACAACCCTCTAAACCTATTATTTCAAAGCCTAGCAATATTAAGGGGGCTGTTCACAATTAGCTGGTCCCTAATATATTTGTGCATATAGAAGGTTAACTACTCCAACTCGATGGCTGAGAGAAAAGTGAAATCCTAGCTTTCCCTAGAATCAGCTCTTTACTATCCTGCCCCAGGGGGTTTTTCGGAGACATTGAACCCTAGATTTAGAAGCTTTCCCAAACAAACCTTTTGACCAGGAAAAGGCATACCAAAGATTTTTGGAAACACACATTGAAATGGAAGCTCTCGAACCTATTCCGAAGTAAGTTTAGGATGAGGTTTCCGATCTGGTTGGTGTTTTGACATCCCGAATCGAGGTGGCTCTAAACTCAGGTTTGCCTACCTCTCTAGTTACAGAGGGAGGAGAGGGGCTTCGTCTTTTTAGGTCTCTGAAAAGCCAGTTGACATGTGCGATCCAATCAAGGAGGCAGTACTTCTGCCTGAGTTCCTTTGGATCCTACTCGTCGGGATTACCGTGCTCCCGTAGGTTGTTCACCATGCGTTCCATAGCACTTTGACTTTATATCTTTTACCATCTTGGAATCATGTAGATGTAGATTGCTTTCATCGCAGGGTCATTCCTGAAGGTGGCTTGTACCAGCTCTTCGTCATCATAAATAGCAAGCCATTTCAGGCTCCGTATTGAAAACTCGAATTGGATTTTGTGTCGGCTGGCCGGCAGGACCGCCAGCCGCAGATGTAGGGAGGTCTCCTCTTGAAATGAGAAATCAAAGTCGTGATCTGATAGGTATCTATCCGGACCATGCATCTGGAAAGCGCCGGTTCGATTCCGGCTCGTGACATGAAGAAGAAGTCCCAAACAGGGATCAGATGAGCTTGCACAACGTTACTTTGTTGACGGAAACCCCTTAATAGAACGTTCGTTTTTCATAAATGTCATAAGGTAGGTAGACCCGGTCTCGCGCTCGTCCGGTTAAGTGGCACATTGTGCTAAGTGCTCGAACCGTTGGCTCATCTCAGCTGTATCGCCTCATACAAATTAGTTAAGCGAGAAAACAAACGGTTACATAGGAGCTCTATGGTGGACCACCAGCAGGAAGATCGAATGGCTTAGCACATCCTGCGCCTACTGGACCTGACTTCGTAGGATACTCTGATAGACTAGTCGAATGGCAATGGCCTAGTGGTTGTATCTGCTTGCCGATTCCTATTAAGAATACGAGAGTGACAAATGAGATGGAGATCTTGGCTATCATCAAACCATCCTCCCTCCGCTTATCTCTTTCCTTTCTATATGATAAGTCTACTCGCGCCTCAAGGGCCGGTCATTTACGCTCTCCACTGCATGAACAACATTCCCAACTAGATCTGTACGGCTTCCGTTGTCTCCTTTTCGATTCCCGACTCTAGCTCACAGGTATCCATAAGAGCGACCAGCCCTGAATGCTTAAACCTATCAATCCTCTCCTAAATTTCTTTCTTTTTGTCACTGGGCAAGGAGCAATCCATTCAGCACTTTCCGATGGGGACCAAAAGCCACTGGGCTACCAAGAAGTCGGATTCAGTTCAGTCCCATTTTCAAGATCCGGTTCAGTGTTTGGGGATGGCTTGGTCCAAGCCCACATCCATAGTAGATGGACTTGAGCAGGCAAGTATGCCACCTACTGATATGATTGATTATGACAATTATGATATGGACTGGACGGTTGTGCAACCGATTGTACTGACTCGCTTACCCCCGAGAACACCTAAGACATGGG